ACCAGGCCTTTCCTCAGAGGGGCCTCTTGGTGGGTTTGAACTGCTGTCCTTTTGGTTCATAGTCAGTCCCTTAACCATTTGCACCACGAGGGACTCTCTCAATAAATAGTAGCACTAGTCAAAAACACAGGTAGAATTGATTTAGATGGAACAAGAAGTCTGAGTCTCCAACTTGTGGCCCAGGACAGCCTGAGTGGTGCTGGGCCCTCTCCAAAGACACTCTGTTCTCCAGGGAGACCTGGAGGCACTGGCAGAAGTGGCTCCTGGCCACCAGATCCCTGGTGTTCCCGGTGGAAGGAGGGCGGTACTAGTCACAGCCCTTTTTACTCAGGAACAAATTGAAGCTTAGAGAGCAGAGGGGCTTTGTTCAAGGTCCCTAGGCAGTGCCTGGGTGGGAGGATGATAGGCCAGAATCGCTCTGGTGGCATAGTGCTTAAGGCATTTGACTGCTAACCAGAAGGCTGGGGGTTCAAACCCTCCAGCCACTTCTAGGAAGGAAGACTGGGCAATCTACTTCCACAAAGACACTGCCTCAACAACCCAAGGAGAGGTTGCTATGAGTTGGGATTGACTCGTGGGCAGTGAGTTTTGTTTTGTTTTGTTTTTGCTTTTGTTTTTTAAACTCCAGCAGCTGCCTCTGGGCCAGAAAAACTGCCTTATGCAGTTCCTCTCTGTGTGGATCCACTCAGTGCTCAGCTGCCAGGGCTGGGTTCTCCCCTCCCCTCTCCTCTGCTGCCCTGCCCTCCCTTCCCTTCCCTCCACTGCTCCTTCGCTCCCCTCCCTTCCCCTCCTTCCCTCTTTCCCCTTCTTCCCTTCCATCGTCTCCTCCCGCCTCTCCCCTTCCTTTCCCTTCTCTTCCTCTGTTCCCTCCTTTCCACTTTACTCCACTCCCTGGACTCATGTTCCATTGAGCTGAGCTTTTTCTTTGGAATCCTCCTGATAAACTGGGTTCACTGATGGTTCTAACACTGCAGCAAAGACCTCACTATGCTGCACAATGTATTAGTTTGGAGGCCAGAGATTAAACCACCCACACAAGCTCCTCCCTGCAAAGACCTCTTCGAAGGCCACTCTCTCCATGGGACCAGAGGGAGTGTGAGAATGGGAAACCCAGACTGTGTTTCTTAATTATCAGCAGACGATTGGCTCTCATGGTGACCGCTGGGGCAGGGAATGCCTAATGGGGCTGGGGAGTGGGCATGGGTCTCAGAAGCCGCATGGTGGGCTGGTTAGGGGCTGGTTAGAGGCAGAACTGGGTTGGCAGGTGACCTAGCCTCTCTGAATCTCCCACTGTTGCTATTAGTCACCCTCAAGTTGCCCCGACTCATGGTGACCCCCAGGCACAATACAGAAAAATGCTGCCAAGCCCTGTACCGCATCACACGATATTCTGTTGTGGGTCACAGGATTCTCACTGGGCAATTTTCAGGAGTGGGTTACCAGATCTTTCTTCTTAGTTTGTTTTACTCTGGATGTTCCACTGAAACCTGTCGACCATGGGTGACGCTGCTGGTATTTGAAATTCTGGTGCTATAGCCTCCTGCACCACAGCAACATGTAAGCCAGCACAGAGGACAGACTGACAGGCGGGTGGTGGGTACCTCAGAGCCCAGCATGAGGCTGCTGTATTGGGTTCTGTCAACTGGAGGTTCTGCAAACTGAATTCACCCTCTGACTTCACCCTCTGAGGTCAGAGTGCAAATTGGAGGCCAGGGGCAGCAAGTGTGACCTGCCTGAGACATTCATCATCACTCAGACAAAAGACAGACCTAGGACTGCAGCCTAGGACCTCCTGCCTCCCAAGCCTGTCTTCCTAACACCCTCCACACCCCAGAGAGGCCCCTAGGCAAGCCATTGCCAACACCACTGGTTGGGGCCCTTTGGGTTTGGTTTGGCTTTGGTCACGTTCATCCAGGGCATGCTGCCCCACATGTCCTGGGTCTGGGGGACTTGGTGACATGGTGACTGTGTGGGGAGAGATCAGCAGAGAGGTTCACACCCAGGACCGTAAGTGCCCTCTCATCAGGGATCACTGGTTGCAGGAAACTTGGAACTTTAACTCACCCAGCGCTGTGGGCTGCTGCCAGGCTCGTGTGAGCACAGGGCTGGGGGACGTGGGGGCCCAGGCGGGGCTGTGGCCAAGGTCAAACAGCCACCTGGGGGTGGACCTGGGCCAGCCCAAATGCAGGAGGAAAATGACCACTGCTCTCCTATCAGACCTTCCCTGTGATACTGCGATGCCCACCTTAGATGCCTCAGGGAACAGCAGTCATGATCACCTTCAGGCCACCACCAGTGCTGCACCCTGAAGTGACCAGGAGGGTGCTGCATCCTGTAGGCTCTGACAGTCTCTGGCTCCTCCTCCATGAAATTTCTGCCCCAGTGCTGGCCCCTCTTGGTCACTTCCTCCTCAGAAAGGACATGTTTGTGGGATCCATTTGTCTTACTGTTGTCGTTAGGTGCCATCAAGCCAGCTCTGACTCACAGTGACCTTATGTGCAACAGAACAAAACATTGCCCAGTCCTGTGCCAGCCTCACAATTCACCATGCTTGAGCCCATCGTTGCAGCCACTGTGTCAATCCATCTCATTGAGGGTCCCTTGGCCAATCCCTGGAGAAGAATATCATGCTACATAAAGTAGAGGCATTTGACTGCCAACCAGAAGGCTGGTGGTTCAAACCCACCAGCTACTCCTCGGAAAGAAGGTTGAGTAATCTACTTCCATAGTGATATCACCTCAGAAACCCAAGGAGGAGTCGCTATAACTCAGGTCTGACTTGATGGCAACAGGTTTGGTTTTAAAGTAGAGGGTCAGCAAAAAAGGGGAAGACCCTCAAAAAGATTTGTCTTCCTAGGATTGCCATGGCAAAATGCTACAGACTGGGTGTCCTACAAGAAGAAAAATTTGTTGTCTCACAGTTCTAGAGACAAGGAGTTGGAGACCAGGGTGTCGGCCATGTTGATTCCTTCTGGTGCTCTAAGGGAGAATCTGTTCCTGCCTCTCTCCCAGCTTCTAGGGGCTCCAGACGTTGTTAACTTGAAGCTACGGTGTCACATGGCGTCCTTTCTCAGTCTGCCTGTCTCTGTGTCTCTCCTCTTTTATATTGTTAGATGCCTTTGAGTCGTCTCCGACTCATAGCGACCCTATGTACAGCTGAATGAAATACTGCCCAGTCCTGTGCCGGCTCCACAATCCCGCTATACCTGCACCCATTGTTGCCTCTTTTATAAGGACACCAATCATACTGGATTAGGACCCACCCTACCCAATGTGACCTCAGGTTAATCTAACTGATAACATCTTCTTGTGAACCTGCTGCCATGGAATTGGTTGTGACTCATGGCAACCCTGTAAGTCAGAGTAGAACTGCTCCCTAGTGCTTCCCAGGCTATCATCTTCAGGGAAGCAGATTGGTAACAGCTTCAAGGAGCCTATTTCCAAACATGAGGACATTCACAGGTCCAGGCTGTCTTGGTTTCCGATGACTGCCATAACACAATACCACAAAGTAGGTGGCTTTAAAGAACAGAAAGCTATTTTCTCACAGTTCTGGTGGTTGAAAGTCCAAAGCAGGGTTGATTCCATCTGCAAGCCTCTCTCCTAGGTGCCAGTGACTTCTAGCAAACTTCAGGGTTCCATTATACACGTCTCTGCATCTGTACTTGCATCGTGTCTTCCCCTGTGTGTCTGTCTCTTTGTCCTCCCCCTTATAAAACACCACTCAGACAGGATTAGGGTGAGGACCCTCCTACTCTGGCATGACCTTCTTAACATAACAGAAGAAACCCTTGATTTTCAAAGAGTCTTATTGGCAGGTCAGGGATTAGAACTTCAGCATTTTTAGAGGACACAATACAATCCATTACACTGTTTTGGGGAGGAGATGTGGTGGGAAGGATGGAAGAGAGAGCTCTCTTGGGTGGATGAGAGAGTGCCTGGCCCATATGACATACTCCATGCATGTTTGTTAAATGAATGAACTAGGACAAAGCAAGCAGTGCTGAGGGCCCTAGGTGGGGGTGGGGGTAGGGGTGGGGTGTATACTCAGTTAGAGTTCATAGAAGTTTCCAGAGGCCTTGTCAAGTGCTGAACCCAGGGGCGGAAGTGAAGGTGGTGGGGCTGAAGAGGAAGTCAAGAGGTCTGAAGTGGAAGTGGTAGTCGTGGTGCTTAGCTGCCATCCAGTCAGCCCCCGAGGCACAGTGACCCCATGCACAACTGATTGAAACACCTGCCTAGTGTCCTGCGCCATCCCCATGATCAGTTGCAGATCAGACCATTCTGATCCAGAAGACTTCCACCGCCTGATCTCCAGGAAGTAGGTCCCCAGGCCTTTCTTCCTAGTGTGCCTTAGTCTGGAAGCTCTGCTGCACCCTGTTCAGCGTCATAGCAACATGCAGCCTCCAGTGGTAGATGTGGTGGCTGCATGTGAGGTGCATTGGCCAGGCACAGCCTGTAGCTCGGTGGCCAAGAGGGACTCATTTTGAAACTTCTCCTGTATGGAAGGCAAGGATGCTACTACTACCCACCAATGTCCCCAAAGTGAAGATTATAGGTCATATAGGAAGAAAGTTCTTTTGTTCCCTGATAAGCTCAGGGATGCTGGCCTAGAAGGACATAGGAAAACCCTCTGCCCCTACACAGTTCTCCCCACACACACACTCTTACATGGATGGGGACGACAGGCAGGATTCTTGCCCTGGTGGCCAGTTTCCTGCATCAGGCCGGTGCCTCCTCTGCCTCTTCCTTCCTCTCCCACCATTCAAAGTCCATGTCCTCTGCCCACTCCTGTCCTCCATCAGCCTCACTCCCATCTCACAGGCATCACCATCCTTGTTCAATGCTGCCTGGCCCAAACCCACAAGGCACCATCAGGAATGTTGGTCTTGCATACCTGTAATCCTTTCTCTTTTTCTCAGCCTCCAGCTCAGGGATGGGTGCTGGGCCAGTGCTTTCTCCGAGAACATTTTGTTTTTCTTCCAGAACAAGGGGCAGCCATAATGCAGTTCTCCTACTTCCTGTGCCTGACGCTACTCATCCCTCAGGCTGCCACCCTCAGCCGCTACCACTCCCATGAGTCAAGGAAGAAAGCCAAGGAGCTCCCTGTAGCTGCCACAGAGGCCATCAGGAGCAAGGACTTTGCCTTCAACCTGTACAGAGTCTTGGCTTCTGCTGACCCTGGCCAGAACATCTTCTTCTCCCCGGTGAGCATCTCTATGTCCTTGGCCATGCTCTGCCTAGGGGCCCGGTCCCACACGAAGACTCAGATCCTGGAGGGCCTGGGATTCAGACTTCAGGAAACCCAGGAGGAGGAGCTCCACAAGGACTTCCAGAAGCTTCTGCAGGAGCTCAGCCGGCCCGGGGATGGCCTCCAGCTGAGCCTCGGCAACGCCCTGTTCATGGACCCAAAACAGGCCATTCAGGAGGTCTTCCTGAGCACCATGAAGACTCTGTACCTGGCAGATACTTTCCCCACCAACTTTGGGGACCCAGCAGGGGCCAAGAAGCAGATCAATGATTATGTGGCAAAGCAAACGAATGGCAAGATCCTGGACTTGGTTAAGGATCTCAATAGAGATTCGATAATGGTTATGGTGAATTACATTTTCTTTAAAGGTAAGACCCTGGCCCTGAACCTGTGTTTTATCTCTCAAAAGAATACCAGTCCCCTTGGACTGAAGGAGTGGGAATGGAGTTGGTCCTTCTGGTGCCACTGAAAAGTAAAGCCAGTGGACAGCTATAGGTAAAATGGTAACACAATGCAACACACTGCCGTTGAGTTGGATCTGACTCATAACAACCCCTCCTTGGGTTTCTGAGGAGGTATCACTACAGATGTAGATTGCCCAACCTTCCTTCTGTGGAGTGGCCGGTGGGTTTGAACTGCCAGCCTTCTGGTTAGCAGTCAAGTGCCGTGGGCACTAGGCCACCAGATGGTACCTTCTCACAAAAACAGGGCTTGTTGGCTACACTTATGGTGACCCCATGTGTGTCCAAATAGAGCTGGGCTCCATACAGTTTTCAATGGCCAGTTTTTCTGGAAGTAGATTGCTAGGCCTTTCTTTTGCGTGTCTGTGAGTGAACCCCCAACTTGGTTAGTAGCCAATACATTAGTTGTTTGCATGCCCAGGGACTTCTCACTGTGGAAAGCAGTGCTTAGAGGCCATGACCTCCACCCAGGAGGAAGCCCTGGGATTATCTGAAGCCACCACTTGCACATAGTGTTCAAAATGAGCCCCTCCTGACCACTGTGCCAAAGAAACCACACCCCAGCTAACCAGGGCAGCAGTTGGACTTGAGGAGGCACCCTCCCCCTCATCCTTGCAGCTGGGCCTTCCTAAGGGCTCTTTCCTTGTCTGACAAGTGCCTGTTCCTCTGAGAAGGCTTCTCCCTCCTCACAGGAACTGACCCTCATCTTTATCTTCCTGACATTTCTGTCAGCATCTTGACTCCTGTCAGCTCATTCATCTGCTTCTCCTCCTGGATGCTGAGCTCCACTGCCCTGTGTGGGGCCTGGATGAGGATGGAAAGGGAAGGGAACACAGGTTTCCCCACTGTCCAGGCAGAGCATGCCTATGACACCTTTGGTTAAGCCAAAATAGTGCAAAGAAAAGAACAAATTACCATTAATTTACATGGGAAAATGTTTGAGCATTCCCAGGCCCCAAAAACAACCTACCCAGTCATCAAACAACTCATAAACCCTAAAATAACACTAGCATATAGTGTCCACAGACTCAGTTCAAAGCTATGGTGGCTTGATGCCGACATGCTGAGTGTAGTTCCTGGGGAAGGAGCCTGGTGACGCCACTCTCACTGCTCAGGGTGTGCCCTGCCTCTTCAACAGCTCACTTGAAAACAAACCCTTTCCTCATAACAGTGAAAGTCCCTTCAGATTTCTTTCAGTTAGTGAAAACATGTGCATGTGCTAATGTAGGTCTTTCATAAATGTGAAATGTCATAAAGCAAACTTTCGAAAAACAGAGTAATCCTGTAAGGGGATGAAGAGGGGATGGGAGGCAAGGCAAGGAAGGGAAGGGGCAAGGAGACAGAGGGGAGGGGGAAAGGAGGGACAAGGAGCAGGAGAGGAGTAGTAAGGGGAAGAGAGGGACGGGGATGGAAGGGGAGGAAGGAAATAGATGGCTAACTCCCTTCCCCCTTGAGAAACTTGCCCCCAAGCTTGGGTTCTGAATGTGTCCCCTAGTCCAGGCTCTCCTCATTACACCAGGCTCAGAGAACAATTGAGATAAGCAAAGTGGGCCATTGGGAAGGTCTACGTCTGACACCAGGAGCTCTGGTAGCATAGTGCCTAAGGCATTTGACTGCTAAACAGAAGGCTGGTGGTTCAAACCCACCAGCCACTCCTCGGAAGGAAGGTTGGACAATCTACTTCCGTAGTTATACTACCTTGAAAACCCAAGGAGGGGTCACTATGAGTCGGGGCCTACTCGATGGCACATAACAACTACAGCAACAACACCTCTGACACCTGCTAAGTGAGGCTACTAAGGTCTACCTTTAATGTCTACTAAGAGGGATATTAAGGAGCTCTAGTGGTGCAGTGGGTAAAGCATTGGCTACTAATCACAAGGTCAGCAGTTCAAACCCACCAGCTTCTCCATGGAAAGAAGATGAGGCAATCTACTTCCTTAAAGATTTATAGCCTTGGAAACCCAGTTGGGGTCATTTTGAGTCAGAAAAGACTCAGTGGCAATGGGTTTGGTTTTTTTGTTTTTGGTAAGAAGAGTATAGAAAGGTCTACTTTTGACACCTACTAAGTGAGGCATTGGGATGGTTTGCCTTTGATATCTACTAGGGAGATAGAAACAATCAATTGTAGCTCTTTCATTAAAAACACCCACAGGAAGCAGCCAGAGAAGGCAGCATAATGAATACTTCCAACAGGAAATAGAATACATTTCCAGGGACCTTACAAACCTCTCTCTCAGATCAAAGTGCAGTACTAAGAAGAGAGTGAAAAACAAAATAACTCACCCAGATGTTGGGTGCATTGTTGGTCATCCATACTATGCCCCTCTCCACCTGAGTCCTTGGCCTTGAACAGTGTCAGGGGATTGAAGAGCACTAGTGGTGGAGACATAGAACCAACTTCCTGGTTTTGCAAAAGTGGAAGGAGAGGCCCCTCCAAAAGTTAATGGACAGGTTGATGAGTTCTGGCAAGATGGCGGACTAGGCAGAAGGACTGCACAGACCCTCTTCAACAAAGAAAAGGAAAACCAATTAACACAGACACAGAGGACAATCTTGGACCCTTGAGCCTTGAAAGGAAAGATACAAAAGTGGACTAAACCCCAACTAGCAGAAGAATTTGCATGAAAATACCAAAAAAGGAGACACACAGAGCTGCGGTCTGGCAGTGACAGACGGCTTGGAGATTCCTGAGTGGTGGTAGGACCTAAGAATTAACCTAAAAATCACCCTGCTAGCAGGGACTGCACAGAGGACTGTGCACGGTGGCTGGGGAACAAACGGAGAAGATGAAGAGAAAGGTGGGCTGAGCTGTGGACTTTTGCCGGTTTGGAGGACACTGCTATTTTGTAGGTTTAAAAAGTGACTTGACTATTTTGGATATGCAAAGAGACAGCACTCTTGCAGATTTCTGGGGCTTAAGAACAAGTTCTGCTTTCCAGCAATCCCAAGGACACTTGGGGCCTGCAAGACTGAAAAGGTACGACATTCTTCTTGTTATTACACCCTACACCCGCTTGGTGAACGGAGGTGTGGCCATCCCCACTCCCACCTACCTTCTGGGCCCACAGGACCTCCATCACAGTCTGGTGCTCAGACAGAGCCTGGGTGCCCTACCC